GATACAGATGATATAAATGAATATGAAAAACAAGAAATAGATTATGATAATAAATATGATTCATAGATTAATTTGATGTATTTTTTTTTTTTTTGATTTTATAATAAATTTTGATATTTTTTTACGATTTATATAAATGCTATATAAAAAAACAATTGGTGTATAATACTCCCGGGTATTATACAAATTTTCGCAACTTTTTTTTCGAAGTCCTTATGTATAATACCCGGGTCTTTTAGACCAGATTTATAGAAAGGGTATTATATTATAGAGGTACTTTAGTCAACCGTTTACGGTATATGCCAACCACTTAATATTACCATTAATAAATTATTTAAGGATAACCTCCGTAAAGAATGGCATTTATGGATAGCAGCTGGTGGTGCTGGTGTGACTTCTGCAGGAAATCTTAGGTGCGCTAAATATAGTGATATTTGTAATTGGATAAAATGTTCTTGGGAAGGTATATCTGAGGAAATTATTATTAATTCTTTTGTAAATTGTTCTATAACAGATTCTTTAGATAATTTATATGACAATCATGAAGAATTAGAAATTTTCAATATTAATGATGGTAGTTATGATAATATTTATAATAATGATTAATTAGACAGGTTTTTATAATAATTTTGTAATAGTTAATAATAATTTTCAATTAATTTTGTATTAATTCAGCTTTATTTTCAAATAAATTTTATATTACAATAATGGAATAATAAATTTTTTTTTTATTTTTACATTTTTTTTGAGGGATGCTTATTTTTGGGTAATATTAAAAAATAGAGGTGCTTATTTTCGGGTGGTGCTTATTTTTGGGACTATACGGTATATAAAAATTAAAATTTATAAAATAAAAATAATTACATTTAGTAAAGAGTTCTTACAAGTTTAAGTATTTAAAAAATGAAGTTGTTTTTTTAAAGATTATGATAAATAAAATAAAGGTGTTTTTTTGTTAAAAAAAGAAAAAAAAAATTGAAAAATTGATTTTCAGTATAATTATAATTAATCGTATAATTTTAATTGATCATCAAATTAAAAATTTTTATATTATTTCGCATACAATTTTTTTTACAGAAAAAGTAAAAGAAAAATAACAAAATAAATTAGAGTTTTAAATTGAATTAAATATAATATATTATTTATTAAATAATTAAATAATTTGATCATAAGGTCAGGTCAGGTCAGTTCAAATGAAAATTTAAATCAGATCAGATTTTTGTTTGACCTGACCTGGTCCTCTTAGTTCAGATAACTTGATTGACCTGATCCGAACTGACCTGTTTAAAGCTCTAATCAAAATATTATAACATTTACTGTAAAATAAATATCATTCACTAAATTCTCCTTCTTTCTCATCTGTTTTGTATAAAGGAATATTGTCATTATTCTTTAGTTTACCTAAAGAATAAAAAGAATATATTTTTTGTATTGCACTTTTTACTATACTGATAGTTGATGATTCACCAAATTGATATTTATTCTCAATAGCAAAATTAAGCAAAGATTCATAATCGCCAGATGGTTGAATTTTACATTCAGCAAGCTGTTGAATTTCTTGTTATTCATTAAGTCATTGAATTTCATGTTCATTAGATCATTAAATTTCTTGTTCATCAAGTTATTAAATTTCATGTTCACTAGACCGTTGAATTTCTCGTCGTTCATCAAGTCTTTAAATTTCATATTCTTTAGAAATTTGTCAATTTTCGTCAATTGTACTGTTTTTTTTTAAAAAAAAAATAAGGAAAAAACTTTAATCTCAAATATTTTTTATAATAATACCTTTTACAAGCCTAACTTGGTATATTTTTTAGCGGTAATTGATCTTTCTAAAAGTGATTATCATTATAAAGCTAAGCTCTTGACAATTATAAAGATTGTTAGGATAACGCATATTTTTTAAGAATCTCATGTAAGAGTCTTTTTAACTAAATTTATTATCAATAAAAAAATTAAAATTTGAAATAAATAAATAAATATATGGATAGGTTAATATATCAAACCTCGTTTGACCTCCAGGTATAATTATATACAACTACCTAACGATTTTTATCATCATCTGGATCAGTTTTTGATTGCTCAGAGGAATGAATAGCTATATTTCAAAGCAATTTTATTATTTCTTCTCAGTCATATTTCAAAACTCGAGTATCTCCTTTATTAAATAAAACTTCAGCACTTCTTATTCGCCTATCTCTTTTTTATTATATAAAAATATAAAAAACAAATGAATGTTAAAGAAATACAATAAAATAAATTAAAAATTTTATACCTCTACTACCCAATTATTATTATATACTCACCGGTTTGTCTGGTTTTGAGTACCTTTCTTAACTAATAAATATCTATCTCTTTGATAATTGTGTAAAGTATGAAGCTATTCTTTCAATTGGCTGTACAAAGGAGTGTAATGTGACTATAAAGATCTCAGGAGTTCAGATACTAATTTTGCTGAATTTTCTTATTATCTGGGCTGTTAAAAACTTTATTATATCTTATTTCAAATTCTGATGGTAATGTTTTCAATATTTCTTTCATCTCAGCCTATTATAAAAGAAATTATATATCAATAAATTTTAAGAATTGTTAATAAAATTGAATTCTACAAACTCTTGCTGCTTCGACATCTGCTTTAGCTTCTTAGGTTTCTACTTGTAAATTTTATTTTTTCTCTTTAGTTTCAGTGTAGACTTCATTTTTTTTTAGTTAAGAGGTCACTTCTTCTTCAGTGCTTAATATAACATCTTTATCTGTTATAATAAGTGTCAAATGTGATGTTTGACAGGATAGTATTGATAATCCCACTTAGATTATTTAAGATTCTCTCTCAATTCATCATTAATTCTTTCAAGTTTTTTATTTACAAAAATCAACACATTATTCTCTGACTTTAATCAGGATATATCTTCTGAAATCTTTTTAACCTGTACTAAAAAACCATCATATCAGTTCTGTAAGAACTGAATTTGTACTTTTCATTGGTTAATTTCTCCTTTTAATCTCTTATTTTTTAGATTAGTTCAGTTTATGTAAAAAGAAGATATATTAGTAGAAAATTGGCGTAAAAAATAAAAAAATGATATTTATATCATTAGATTGGAGTGGTAATATAATATAATACCTTTAAATGGATCCATAGTTGTGCCAGAGTTGACTGTTAGTACAGGTGATACAAGTTCATTATCTTAATCATTATCTATTTTGTAATTTAGCACTCAAAGACTAGGAACTCTTTCTTGAAGGTTTCAGATAGTTTCTGTCATTCTTGATCAGTTATCTAAATCATTATCTGTTTTTGACATTGAAGAGAAGAAGGTTTCACTTCCGGAGTTGTTACTTTACATTAATATTGAGATTTTACTTCAGAAGAATAGTAGTTACTGCTTGATGTTAACATTGATATTGAAGAGAAGAATGTTTCACTTTTAGAATAATAGTAGTTGCTGCTTAACATTGATATTGAAGAGAAGAAGATTCCACTTCTAGAAGAATAGGAGTTGCTGTTTGACGTTGGTACTGTGACAGTTCTGTATGTATATTTGTTTGTATATTCTTTTATTGTTTTTTTTATTTTTATGAGTCATTATAGATTATTTCTGTATTATTTTCGTATTTCATTATAAATTTTATAGAGGAGAGGGAGAGGAAAAGACTGCTTTTTATAAAATTTTCATAATCACTTAAATAAACTTTTGTTACTACTTAAACTTTCATGATTACTTAAACTTTTGAATCATTTAAATCATTTAAATAAAATTTTAAAATTATTTTAATTAATAATGATTTAATCAGACTTTTGATCATTTTTAAATTTTAAATAAAATTTTATAATCATTTAAATAAACTTTTGTGATCATTAAATAAAATTTCGATCATTTTAAGATTTATACTAAATTGTATCATTTTTTAGTTAATTTTATATAATATAAACAGACAAATTTTTATCATTTTCTAATATTATATAAAAATACTCAGAATCAGAACAAAATCTAATATAAGTAATGATAATTTGCAAACTGACTTAAAACATAGGAAAAGGATGAAAGTTATATGTGATTGCATACAATATAATGGTGTATTAGTCAATAAATGTACTAAGAAATGATATGAACATTTTGCAGAAAATAACCCAATGGAATATCAAATATTGCCATTACTAATGATACATTTATCTAATAATCCATCTAACATACAAGAAGATTCGATTCAAAATATTTGTGAAAAATTGAACAATATGCAATAAGAATCAAATGTCATAATCAGATAATAAACAAAATATCAGAAAGAGAATCAGAAAATTTCTGACACAGATGTCGAACCTATTTTACCTTACAAACGAGTAAGATATGCAAATCATCTTAGACTAATTATAAAGCCACAATTTGGATCTGATGATTCTGACAATAGTTTCAACAGTGGTTCAAATGATGATTCTGACAATGGCTCTAATTTTGAAGATTCAGAAATAAATAAAAGTGGAATTTCGTCAGATGATGCGTTAGATGAAAATAATGATTTTGCTGAAACATTCAAAGATTATTCAACTTCTTTATTTACGCCATATCAAGAATCAAATGATACCCAATCGAAAAACTTTAATGAATTTTTATGGATATTAGTATGGATAATGATATTCTGTATAAGGTTTAACTTATCAAAGACAGCTATAGAATCGCTCATAAAATTTATGAAAATTATATTAGAAGAATTTAGTGATTCTAAATTCAAATCATTTGCTAATTCACTTTATCTAGCGAAAAAGACACTTAGTTTACAAGATAGATTCCATAAGTTTGTGGCTTATCTGAAATACCATAAGTTATATAATAAACAAAAAGTTACTGAATTTCAAGAAAATAATACCCTATCTATTATAAAATGCAATCATGTTGAATTTCTGAATTCACAAACACGTAGATTAAAATCATATGAAATAGCTTTATCTAGAAAAATAAAATCATTGGATGGTTAATTCATAATTAGTTTAGAATTAATTTATCTATTTGTTGAAATTCGCCAACAACTGGAAACATTATATCAACAGTCTAGCTTCAAAAGTTCACTTTGATACTAGACGAATAGACTAAATTTTAATAGTATATTAATAGATATATATAATGGCCAAGTATGAAAGACGTTAAAGGAGACAACAGATGAAAATTCTCTTAACTTTTTCTAATTGAAAGTGGCAGATTTGCATCTTAGACTTATGCTGAATCTTGATTAATTTCAGCCATATGATAGAATATCATATAGCACTGGCTTTTTGTATATAGCAATATGTAACTTGCTGAGAGATATTCAATTTCAACGAGAAAATTTACTTATTCTTACCCTATTACCTGAACTAAATGAAGTAAATTTACACAAAATTAATCACTATTTAGCACCTCTTATCGATGAATTAAACTCACTTTAGACTAGAATCACACTAGATCACACATTTGAATATCAAGATAGAAGAAACATTTATGCTACTCTGATTATCATTTCATGTGACATTCCTGCTGTAAGAAAGATATGCAGCCATATTTTGGCACTTGCTTCATGTCATCAGTATGAAAAATATGCTAATTATGAGAATCGTCAATTAAATTTTGCTAGAATTGATAACATAAAAGAATGGTTTATTAGTCGAGATTCAGACAAATATCATCTAGATGCAATTAGGTGACGATGATGTAATTCAGAGGTAACAAGAAAATGATTTGTTAAAAAAACTGGTGTTAGATAGTCTGAATTACTATGCCTGCCATATTTCAACTTGATTCATTTTATTACAGTTGATCCAATGCATTGCTTATTTCTCAGTATTACAAAATGGATAGTAAAATGAATTAGGATTGACAGGGGTGTTCTAATAGCAAACATATTAAAAAATATTCAGTATAAGATGAACAAATTCCAAATACCATCTGATATAGGCCAAATTCTGGAAAAATCAATGGTGATAAAGATTTTTTGAATTTCACAGCAGACTAATGGCAGATATTCTTCATTATCAATATGAATTAATTCAGTTTTTTTACTTTTTTCTTTTGCAAACTATTATAATCAAATACCAAATCATCTTCACTACCATCTCTAGCAATAAAAATACTACAACATTTAAATGATTTTTGAATCAAATTAATATCAATATCATCCTATGATCTTTTTACCCAACTTGCAACATTAGCATATGAAGATTTTTTGATTCTTCCAGAAGGTATTAATTCACGAACCTCAGAACTTATCCAATTATTGTAATATTGACGTAGATTTGCTTTAAAACTTTTGTTAATTGCTACATCTAATGGTTGTAATTTACTTGTAAGCC